AGTTTTTGCACAGCAAAGGAAACAGTCAACAAAACTAAAAGGCAACCTGTGGAATGGGAGAAGATATTTGCAAATGACATATCAGATAAAGGGCTAGTATCCAAAATCTATAAAGAACTTATCAAACTCAACCCCCAAAGAACAAATAATCCAGTCAAGAAATGGGCAGAAGACATGAACAGACATTTCTCCAAAGACATCCAAATGGCCAACAGACACATGAAAAAATGCTCAACATCACTTGGCATCAGGGAACTCCAGATCAAAACCTCAGTGAGATACCACCTTACACCAGTCAGAATGGCTAAAATGAACAACTCAGGGAACAACAGATGTTGGAGAAGATTTGGAGGAATCTTGCCCTCTTACGCTGTTGGTGGGAATGCATACCTGGTGCAGCCACTCTGGAAAACAGTATGGAAGTTCCTCAAAAAGTCAAAAATAGAACTACACTATGACCCAGCAATTGTACCCTTAGGTATTTATCCAAAGGATATGAACATAGTGATTTGAAGGGGCACATGCACCCCGATGTTTATTCATTTTTAACTTATTTTTATTTATTTGTCAGAGCAGGAGAAAGAGAGCGAGAGAACACAAGAAGGTGAAGCAGCAGGCAGAGGGAGAAGCAGGCTCCCCACTGAGCAAGGAGGCTGATGTGGGACTTGATCCCAGGACCCTGGGATCATGACCTGAGCTGAAGGCAGATGCCTAACCAACTGAGCCACCCAGGGGTCCCTCAGCCCAATGTTTAAAGCAACAATGTCTATAATAGCCAAACTATGGAAAGAGCCCAGATGTCTATCAGTAGATGAATGGATAAAGAAGATGTGGTAATATACACACACACACACACACACACACACACACACACACACACTGGAATACTACTCAGCCATCAAAAAGAATGAAATCTTGCCATTTGCAATGACAGGGATAGAACTAGAGAGTACTATGCTAAGCAAAATAAGTCAGCAAAAGACAAATGCCATGATTTCACTCATATGTGTAATTTAGGAAACAAAACAGATGAACAGAGGGAAAGGGAAGAAAAAATAAGATGTAAATTGAGAAGGAGGCAAACCATGACACAACTCTAGGAAACAAACTGAGGGTTGCTGGAGGGGAGGTGGGTGGGGGGCAGGGGTCATTGGGTGATGGGCATTATGGAGGGCACTTGATGGAATGAGCACTCGTTGATATATGCAACTGATGAATCACTAAATTCTACCTTTGAAACTAATAAAAAAATTTAAAAAAACATAAAAAAATAAATATGGAACTTTGTTCTAGCACACAGGGTTACTTGATCAATTTGAACATTTTGAGGTGTTTTTAAGATTTATTAAGGTGAATCCAGAGCAGTTTTAATTTAGGGCTAATTTGGCCCCACTAGTAAGCACAACTTTTCTTAAGATGCTACCCAATGCCCCATGTATTAGAAGCTCTATTCTTGGTGGTGGTAACATAAACTGTTCTCAGCTCAGTGAGGTCCAGGGAATGTTTGGTTTACTGCTTTCCAGTTATTCTTTTATTTTATTTTTTTAATATTTATTTACTTATTTGTGAGAGAGAGAAAGAGCATGAGTAGGAAAGGCAGAGAGACTCTCAAGCAGACTCCTTGCCGAGTGTGGAGCCTGACATGGGGTCAATCTCAAAACACTGAGATCAAGACCTGAGACAAAACCAGGAGTCAGAAGCTTAACTGACTGTGCACCCAGCTGCCCCTCCAGTTATTCCTTTGTTGGCCATTTTGGAGAGTGCTCAACTGACTTCCTTCGCCCTTCCAATTATTACTCAACAGATCCTTTAGACTCCTCTACAGATCTTTCAAGCTTTTTGTTGTTCTGCAGCTTCCTCAGTCATCCTGAACTCTCTTCTAGTTACTAAATGTAGTGAGACCCTGGGCTTTATTTTGGTTTTCCCTCCCTTCACTGCAGCCTGGCAACTGTCTCCAGGTGGCAATCTAGGGGCAATCATAAGGTTCACCACCTTTGTTTTCCTTTTCTCAGGTATCATAGTCCCATATTACCTACAGTGCAATGTCTAAAAACAGCTGTTTCGTATACTTTGATTTTCTAGTTGTTTATGGAAGAAAGGACAATTCAGAGATCAACTAGTATATGTGAATCTACACTTTGATACAGAAATTTTTTTTTCAAAAATTGTTTTTATAATGAGAAAAAATCATTATTTTCACTTGTCTTATAAATTCTGCATTTCCTCAATGTACATCCTGACGTTTTCAGGAGTTAATAGGTAATCTGTACATTTCCCCCCCCCTAGTTCTTAGAAGGTAAGATTCTGAGTTAATAAAAAAGCAAAGTAATAAAAGATTCTTAGTTGCTATACTTGATTGTATTCAGAATTGTTAAGTTTATTCTAGTGAAATTGACTTTATTTCTTTTGATTTAGAGTTTAATATCAAAACTAGCTATCCTTAATTTTCTGTCCTTAAAAGGCTTCAATGCCCTGCCCCCCCCACTCTCTCTCTCTCTGTATCTTTAGAATCAAAAGGTGGTATATCTGCTGGAGAGGTACACAGATTGCTAGGATATAAAATTCCAAACTATCTTTAATTCCACTAAATATGAGGTCAAAATTATTACCACTGATAGAATGGAAACATACTGTGAAATGTGAAGGCAGAGATGTGGTAGGAAAGGAGTTTTAATTAGCAGAGATATTGTTAAGCTCAAAAGGAAAGAGGAAAGGACTGAGAAATTGAACATGGGCTTGGCTCAGTTCAAGATTTAAATATATTGCCTCTTTTGATTACCAAAACAACTTGGTTAGGTGCATGTTATTATTCATATTTTATAGATGAAGAAACTCAGAGTTTAAGTTTCCCAAGGACAGAATGTAGTCAGTAGGAAATGCCACATACTTTTCACTTCTGAATGTTACATAACTGGACAATATGTGGGGAGAGTGTCTCATTATAACACAACCTTTAGCAGAAGCTACAGGGGATGGTTGGTGACAAGAACTACAGTTCATAAAACAACCAGCTATCATTTGATTTGGTGTAACTTTTGTATCATCCTCCCTATCCTGCTTTACCCTTAGCAGTTGACTGTATTTCCTAAGAAACTAAAAGCAACTAGAAGAGAATTTCTATAAGCCATCAACATCAAATCAACCAATCAACCTATTTATATTTGAACTTAAATACTCTGCCTTTTTTCCAATACATGGAAAGTATGGAATCTATGCTCTAGCTGAAGGCTAAGCTCTCTACTGTGTACCGCAGCCCATGTTTTCATATACTCAAGAATATTGCTTCTGAAGATGTTTTCCTTCCTCATCACATTTTCCTTTCATACTAGTTTAAAATTTTCAACCAGTGTGTACAGTCAGAACTTTTATCTCATAACTAAACAGCAGTTTAATAAGACTCAATATTGTTCACAATTTTGTTTGGTTCATGTCTGCTTAAAGAAACTGAGAGGATACAGGACTGTTTTTGCTAAGATCTCTTCTAGTGCTATAATTCGAGGTAATTCTAATAATAATTGTTAATATTTAGAGTTCTGTTTCTAGATTAGACACTGTGCTAAACACTTACATGCATTATCCTATTTAATTCTCACAACAATCCTAAAAGAGAGGTACTATTATAATCTTTATCGTATAGATAAGGAAAGTAGAACTTAGAACAGTTAAGTAATTTGTCTGAGGTTACATAATAAATATAGCACAGTAAAATTCAAACCTGACTTCACAATTCATGTTATTAAATTGTTACACCAATTTTGTAACCTCAATTGCATGCACACTACTGCAGATGAAACGTTACTATGTCTTTATAACATTTATATATTTAGCATCAATAAATAGATACAAAAACAAAATTAAATTGTTATAAAACCCACAATAATTTTTATCTCAATATGGAACAGAATTCACATTACACATCTTTTCTTTAAAAAGATTTATTTATTTGAGAGAGAGAGGATAGTGCAAGCGAGGGGAGGGGCAGAGGGAGAGGAGGAGAGAGAATATCAAGCAGGCCTCACACCCAGTGCAGAGCCTGAAGTGGCACTACATCTCACAACCCTGAGATCATGACCTGAGCCGAAATCAAGAGTTGGATATTTGACTGAGACATCCAGGGGCCCCTATTACACATCTTTAAAGAGGAAAAGTTTTAGCATACAGACACCTTGGAAAAAGATCTAATTTAGTCCTATAATTTTATAGCTAAGGGCAAAAAATATAGTTATCATTTTCTGTCCAGGTTTTTAATAAAAAATAGTAATGTCAAATGAAACATTGTCATTTTATAGTACATTACATCGAGAAATCAATTTATTGAATAATAAGTTTCTATTACATCTCAGACATCACGTATATATCTTTACACATAGAGAATGGATATTAAACAATCTTGGAGTAAAATATGGAAGAAAAACTGCTCAAGTTTGTACTTACTTAGTAAAGCAGAAATATGAATAACCCTGTATTAAGATAAGAAGCATTTATAATTTGCATTTTCTCCCAATGAAATAATAAAGCCAGTGTGCCACCAGCTTGGCATTTACTTAAATGCTTATAAAAAGTGTTTAGGGACTGATTCTTAAAGTTGGCTGAATATTGGAATTGCCTCAAGAGTTTGAAAAATACTAATGCCTATGATATAAGGTAGGGCCTGAGCATGTATTGTTTTAAAACTTTCGGTGATTCTAATATGCAACAGTTTGAAAAACACTAGCTTAGAGAACTGTTAACATAACTAAGGAGGTCAGTCTTCAGCTGAAGGCCATCCCATGACTTGATTTCAGGGGATATATTGTTATTTTAAGTATCTGATAGGTGTATCTACCTTGACTACAAAATAAATAAAGGAAGAGATTTTCTATTTTATTCATCATTGTCTCTTCATATCTGGAATAATAAAAGGTACATAGTAGTTGCTAAATAAATATTTTGAATCAACACATGATTGCCTTATACTTCTTTTACACCACTATCTTCTAGTAGATACATGAACATAAGAATGCAAAAGATATTTATTGAAAAATGAATGATTGAAGCAGTTGAGATAAATGTTTAAAGCAAACTGAAGACTTACATGTGCATATTTAAAAAACACATACATATATAAATAGATCAAAAGTAGAAAAAGAATATACAAAAGAGTGCAACATTCAGCATAGAGAATTCACTGAGTTTTCCAATATTCTTCACATTCTTATACTTAGAAACAAGGGTACCCCTAAACAACTAGTACTTTAGCTAATATTCATAAGCACATATACAGATAAAGTTAATTTCTTTTAAAAACCGAATTACAGCTTAATCTTGATAAACATGTCAGTTTTCAAAATTCAAGTAAGTAAAATTTTAGCACGCACCATAATAGCTTTTACAGGTGTATTAAAAAATAAAAAAAGATTGTTACTGGTTAAAGTATCTGGTACCACTTTTGTTATTTGCTCTCAGTTGAAACCTATTAGTTTCTTAGCAGTCTTACACTGATAAAAAATTACTTTGGTACCTCTTTACATATGTGTTTTATTTAGAAAAACCTTATTAATAAATAGACTTCTTTTTTAGAAGCTAGATTCTTAGATATGGCTTCATTTACCAAAGTTCCACAAGTATTACATTGTAATTTTTAAATCAGTTAGTATCTTAGACTACGAAACTTTGGTTTTTTTAAAATTAGCATTGGCTGTTTGATTGTAGGTTTGTCACCAAAAAGTACTGCTTCGCTCTCCGTGGTTGGAAATCTTTTCTGATATATCAAGGGATATTCTTTCTGAAACTTAAAAACGAGGTGAGAAATTAGAGGGTATTTTACATTTATTATCCTAGCTGAAGCCAGTGTTCAACATTTTATAAGAATTCAGGGCCTTTCTCCAACATGTATTTCAGAAGTGAGTATGCTTTCAATTTATCCTTGCCTTTCCCTTTGCTTTCTCATATATGAAAGGTATAATGTAAGATTTCTTAGATTCAAGTTAGCATTAATATTCTAGGATTCTCTTCTGATGTATTCTCCTCCTAAATTCCAGATCTTCTTCCTTTCCATTTGTAACACCTATGAAGGTCATAATGATCAAATATTTCATATTTGAGTATCTCAGACCTGGAATTAAACTTGCCAGAATCATGTTGCTACTGGATTTTGATGGAGATAAAAATTCTAAATGGTAAAAATGAGTCACTAAAAGTTATGTATTATAGTCACAATATTTTAATTGCTTTCCCAGGCTAATCGAAACTATAATTATAAGAAGTAAAGAAAGAGTATTTTTATTATTATTATTATTTAAATTTCAGGATAAAGAGTAAAGCCAGGCATGTAGGCTATATAAATAGCCTATATAGTATCTAAAATCCAAAATATTAAAATGAGAAATTAGATTCTAAATGTTATTAAATGACAATCAGCAACAGCATATTGAAAAATATTACATGATTGAGAACTTGTTCATTCTCTTACCTGTTTTAGTTTTTTCCTTTTCTCTTTTAGAGGCAAACTCTTGTTTTTAATAATATTCTCTAAAAGTTCTGCAATTGCAGCTTGTGAGGTAGACACTTTTTGTTCATCAAACTCCCGAGCACTAATCTGCTTGCAGTATGAATACGTTGGCAAAGGAACAATCAGTCCATCTCCAGGATTTTTAATCTGTTGTGAACAAAGTGATATAGTCCAAGTCATTAATTCTGTTCATGTCCCTATTTGCTAAGGGTTCTTTTCATTCAATACTTTCAGAAAACTGTATTATGCAGTACTGTAGCGATAAATCCCAGACCCACAATCTACTAGCTTTGTAGCCTTCAGCAAGTTATTGTACTTCTCTTGGTCTGTTTCCTCATCTGTAAAATGGGGATTACATGAGATAATGTATATAAAGTGCTTAGCACAGAATATGTATTAAAGTCATCCATCATCATATTGCCATTAACCATATATTTTATTCTTTTAACTACAAAACAATAAAAAAATCAAAGTGATGTTTTAATTCATTTTAAAACATTAATGTTCCGACATAGTAATAGTATTCATCTACTGTTTTTGAGGTGTAGAAGCATGAGCAGATACTATATCATCTGCTGACAACAGAAGGAAATTGTAAGGATAATTATGATAAGCCAGGGCAATATTAGAATGGTATATATGGGAAGAAACATATATGTGAAATATATGTGCTGGGCAGCCAAAGATTGAAAATAAGACATCTTGTTTCTGGTTACTCAGTATTCCTGCTCTACTTCTTGTAATAGTCGCTTCCCATTCCGGCTCCACTATCCTCACCCCACCCCTCTTAAAGATTTTATTTATGTATTTATTTGAGAAAGAGAGAGAGTGTGAGAAGCAGAGGGAACAGGACAAGCAGATTCTGCACTAAGTGTGGAACCTGATGTGGGGCTCGATCTCACGACCCTGAGATCATGACCTGAGTCGAAATCAAGAGGCAGATGCTTAACTGACTGAGCCACCCAGGTGCCCCTTTCCTCACTTTTTTTGAAGAGCAGATTCTTCTCTAATCTATGTAGAGCCAGAGTATGGCCCTATCTCCAATGCACTCGCCCTCAATCACCTAAAGGACGTGTATTTAGCCTAGACTGAGCCAGAGTCCATGTGAAGAACTTTTAAATTGGTAGGTAAAGGGGTAGTTCTTTTCTCCTTCGATTTAAAAATGAACGTCTGGGGAGTCGAGACCAGAGGCCGAACTTGGGATCTGACAAGATGGCGGGCTGCCCCGCAGGATTATCAAGGAAACCCAGCGTTTGCTGGCAGAACCAGTTCCTGGCATTAAAGCAGAACCAGATGAGAGCAACGCCCGTTATTTTCATGTGGTCATTGCTGGCCCCCAGGATTCCCCCTTTGAGGGAGGGACTTTTAAGCTTGAACTATTCCTACCAGAAGAATACCCGATGGCAGCCCCTAAAGTACGTTTCATGACCAAAATTTATCATCCTAATGTAGACAAGTTGGGAAGAATATGTTTAGATATTTTGAAAGATAAGTGGTCCCCAGCACTGCAGATCCGCACAGTTCTGCTATCGATCCAGGCTTTGTTAAGTGCTCCCAATCCAGATGATCCATTAGCAAATGATGTAGCGGAGCAGTGGAAGACCAACGAAGCCCAAGCCATAGAAACAGCTAGAGCATGGACTAGGCTATATGCCATGAATAATATTTAAAATCGATCTGATCATCAAGTTCTCCTGTTCTGCCAAGACTTCTTCCTTTTTTGTTTGCATTTAATGGACACAGTCTTAGAAACATTACAGAATAAAAGCCCAGACATCTTCAGTCCTTTGGTGATTAAATGCACATTAGCAAACCTATGTCTTGTCCTGATTCACTGTTGTAAAGCATGAGCAGAGGCTAGAAGTACCATCTGGATTGTTGTGAAACGTTTAAAAGCAGTGGCCCTTCTCTGCTTTTATTCATTTCCCCATCATGGTTTGAATATAAAGCACTGTGAATGAAGGTAGTTGTCAGGGTTAGCTGCAGGGGTGTGGGTGTTTTTCTTTATTACTTTTTTTGAGGGGGAGAGGTGGTTTTATTTTAATTTTATGGGCTCCTTTCCCCCTTTTTATGGTGATCTAATTGCATTGGTTAAAAGCAGCTAACCAGTTCTTTAGAATATGCTCTCTAGCCAAGTCTAACTTTATTTAGACGCTATAGATGGACAAGCTTGATTGTTTGAACCAAAATGGGAACATTAAACAAACATCACAGCCCTCACTAATAACATTGTGACTTGCTGTCAAGTGTAGAATCCTTCCTTCAAGAAAAAGCTTGTGACCATTTTGTATGGCTTGTCTGGAAACTTCTGTAAATCTTATGTTTTAGTAAAATATTTTTTGTTATTCTAAAAAAAAAAAAAAAAATGAACGTCTGTGGCTTAAGAGCTTTAATCAGCCATGTGCCCCCTATCATGTGAAGGAGCCATTTGTTAAATATAGTACCAAAATGGAAATAAGAGATGAAAACAGTTTTATTGCTATTTGAGTCCCCAGATTCTGTCTATATTCCTGACTTTTAGAGGTTATTTATGTGAGCTAATAAAGTCTTCCTTTTTAATTAGACCAGTTTGAGATGAATTTGCCACTTGGAACTGACTAATGCAGAGAATTTTAAGATTTACAATACATACATAGCCCTTTTTTAAGTAGTCAAGATGTTTATCCACTGCAGTCTGTAAGTAAGAGGGTACTTGAAGAATTTCCTGGTGATGATCCATTAAGAAAGAAACTAATCTTGCAGCAAGAAGCTCATCAAGATCCACTTCTTCAGCACAGCATAGCACACACCGAGAAAAAGTGTTTATCATCTAGAAACATATTAAGAGATGTGAATTTAAAACCCTAAGGTTTTATATAAATAAGAGTATCAGTAATTTCTGGGTACCATGCTAAAGTACTGAGATGAAGTGATAAGCAGACTTCAGCTTAAAAATGAGGACAATTAATTACATTAGAAAGGTAAGAATATGTTATTCTTTTTAAAGTACTTGTTAAGTATTTCCTTAATGTAATTCCAAAGGATTATAAAGGGCTTAGCTTTTTCTTTAATTTTGTCACAATTTTATTGGTAAGTACCATGGGTTCCATTAGTATCATATAGATATATCACTTAAAGAATGTCAAAGAACAATGACTTATTATATTAAATTAACCCCATAAAACACAAACTAGGAGAATACATAACATGTAAACATTAGTGGTTATGAGGTTGGTACCATTTAGCTTTTGGAATTCTGGAAAATAGCTTGTAGCCCTTATTCCATCAGTCTTGAAAGACAATTAATACATACATTTTTCAATTCCATCATAAGTTGTTGTCAAACCCTGGGTTAAATTTTGTGTTTCAAAACTCATTTACTCTCATTCATATCCATATTACCCACTAAGTATAAGACACAGAAACACATGCCTCATTCTAAAATAATTAGTTATCAGAATTCTAAGTATTTAGCATGTGATAGATGAGGAACATATTTATTGAATTGAAACATTTTTGGTTTTATTCCTACATGTCAGACATGTTTTCCTCTCTCCTTCCAAGACAGTCCTCAGCTTTTTATTCTTCTCTCCTAGCTTTGTAGAGCTCATTTATTTTCAAAGCTCCAACTACTACCGCTCTCCAAATAATCTGCCTTCTGCCCTAATCTTTACCAGGCTCATGTTTCTAATAGTCTGTTGGATAAATTTCACTTGGATGTCCTATAAACTCAAACTCAAAAAGTATAAAACTGAAATTATTTCCTTTCTATTCATGTCTTTCAAAATATATTCCTCTACAAACTTCTCTATGCTTTTTAATGGTGTCACAATTACTCAAGAATAATTCTTCCTCTTTAGATTGGGTCTATCATTGCTAAAGAACTGTCTTTAATGAGTGGAAGAATAGAGCTCAGTTCCAGATTCCTTGCTATAAGAAAATCATCTGAAGCTGCACTGAGAAAATGGCAGCTCTTGAAAAGAGACAGCGAGCGAGCGAGAGAGAGATCAGATACTATTTTAAGAGTTCGTTTCCAATCAATATCTGTATAAAATGCTTCCACCCTCATCCACTACTGCTTCACAGTAGTCTGTCCCAATTTCTTGCCCACAATGATATGCTATCCTAATTCACGTATTTCATCAAATACAACTTTCCCACTACCACAATATTTCTATTAATTCTCTCCTTTACAAAGTTATAGTGCCCTTGTGCTTTTAACTGTGCCTATATCTCCTCTTTCTTCCCCACCAAACAGAATTGGCACAAGGTAATGGAATATGGTCTGATAATCCGGGTCAATCACTATGATCTGTTAGGAGTGAAGAAGCAAAGTGCTCAGACAAGATAAAGATCAGGATATGAAAATTTAGCATACTGGGCACAAAGGATTAATGTAGCAACATTCTGCTACTAGGAAAGATACTTTTAAGAGCTTTTCTATCCCAAGAATCTAGGATTTTGAGATGACAATATCACTCAAGTAGTACTTTTGGATGATTTGCTTTTCTTTTTTTAATTTATGAGCCAAGGCTTATTCTTTCCTTCAGAAATCAACTTACCAGTGATCTTGTACCCATTGCATCATGAAGTTGAGGCATATCAACATTTTGACTCATTCGGGAAATCATGCGCATTAAAAGTTGAAGCTTTCTACGATTTGGTGGGGGCAGTAACAAACAACATAACTGTAGTGCATCGATGGCAACCTTCTCTAAATGAGGTTGTAGCAAACCTAGAAGACAAAATTACACCCCACCCCCAAAAAATATCATCAATGACACTAGTTGCTTTCAAACTATGAGCATACACAAGTTCATAAAGAATACTGTTAAATACTAAAATACATTTTAACTGTCCCTAGAAATTTCCACATTCCTCAAAAGCATGGTAGATTCTCATTACTTTCTTCATAACCTATATGAGTATTAATATCCTTTATATACTACAAATAAAGTGACTCAGAATAAGTTAAAATGAGGTAAAAGAAATAAGGGTTTTAGTTAAGTAGAATAAATCTTGGTTATGCCATGACAAAGTCTTTTACAATAAAAACCTTTCCTTTTGAAGGAAAAATATAAAGCAGTTTCAGAGAAGAAAAGACAGGTAAACAAAACACAGTTAGTAAACACTAAAAGTTAATATTACATGCATTGAAAGCATCAGCCTTACTTTGTGTGCCAGTCAACACAGAAGAAGCTGGAGGTAAAGAATTTTCTGAAAGTTCTATTGTACTTTTGCAGAGTCTCTTATTGATTGTGGTACTAGACTCTCCGAGTTCACTTTCCATAGCTGTTTGCACACTTGTGCTGCCTTGTCCAAGATTTGGTTTCATGATAATTTCAGCCACTGGCATATTGATATAACTATTCCTTCTTGTACTACTTCTTAAAAGTAAACTCTGAGATCTACAAAGCTGTTTTGACTTGCATTTCCCATTACATAACTCCTCTTGGTCTTGAACAGTCAAAGTAGAGGTTCTCTTAAAACCAACACAGAGTGGCTTTTGATTACTTTCCTCTGAATGAAGATTCATTAGGGATTCCTGTTTGGTCTTAGACTCTAAAAATTGCTTATTATTTTGTTCTTCTATATTCAGAACAGATTGATGGAAGACACTGAAGACCTCTTTACTTGAACTCCCTGATAAGTCTATAATTCCTTCTAATGAATGGCACTTTGGTTTGATGTTAGAGGATAGAACATGCATACTACTTAAGCCTATTAAATTATGACAACTTCCTCCCATAACATCATTAGCACTGGCTCTTCTATTTTTAAAATTAACTAGCTCCATTTTCTTAGAACATTTTTCTTGAAATCCTTGATCACTTATCTGCAGTCTCTTAGTAGTATCTGATTCTTCTTTGTTTTTGTCTTTATGAAGCAGACTGAGAAGAAGACACTCAGTTGATTTGAAGGAATTCAAATTGTTTAAGCGAAGGATTTTTGAAGACTGTGGATCATCTTGGATTTTATGTATCCCACTGGGTCTATCTGAAACTGTGATGTAGCCACAAACAACTACCAGGAAATGAAACAAAAATTAAGATGCAACTGTGTGACAGTGGGCAAAAATAAAACAAAAACAATAGTAAAGTTAAAAAAAATAAAGCATCACTACAGTATACATTGTTAGTACAGTACAAATAGCAGTTGCTTAATTCAGGAGCCACTTAAATAGGACACATGCAACATTCAGTTACAAAGTGCAAGACTAGAGGTTTTCCAACTTGTGATAATAAATAACTTTAAAATTTATTTCAACAGTTAATTAAATTATAATTGAGTCAAATACATTAAAAAAATAACTGGTTTCAGTCTACAAGTTATTAGAAAGCTCTTAATTATAAGACAACTATAGTATAATAAAACTTATATATTTGGCCTTTGTCTCTAGTACCTGATATAGTGTTCCTAAGATGCTTGGAATTTCCAGAGTGACAGGAGTCTTTTGTTTTTCATAATGCACCTGTTTGAGTACATCTGAGTTTATGCTAATGAGGTGACTTAGGGCTGGACTTGCTTAGAAGTTTGGAATTTTCAGCCTACCTCAGAACTCCCTGGAGGAGAGGAGGATGTGGGTTGAAGATTGAGTGCAATCACCAATGACCAATGATTTAATCAATCATGCTTATATAATTAAATCTCAATTAAAACTCTGAAGTAACAAGGCTAAGGGAGCTTATGGGTCGGTGAACATATGGACATGGTTGGGAAGATGGCATTCCTGGAGAGGGCATTAAAGCTCTGCACAGCCCTTACTTTCCTATCTTGCCCTGTATACTTATACTTCCATATGGCTGTTCCTGACTTGTATCCTTTATAAAAACTGGTACTGTGAGTTCTGAGTTATATCAATTATTAAGCCCAAGGAAGGTTGTGGGAACCCCCAAACTGGTAGTTAGTTGGGCAGAAGTCTGAGTAAGCCTGAGGACCTCATTAACAGGTGGTACCTGAATGGAGGGCAGTCTTGTGGAGCTGAGCTCTTAATCTGTGGAGTTTGCATTAACTCTGGATGGTTAGTATCAGGACTAAAGGATTTTGTCCCTAACTTGTGGGGTCTAATCTAACTTTGGGTAGTCAGTGTCAGAAATGAATTGAATTGTAGGACACTCAATTGATGTGGAGAACTGGTGTTGGAATGACATATTTGAATTACTGGAAAACAACATAACAGGAAGCAGAGTATTCCCAAATTTTAAAATAATTCATAGCTTGCCACCTTCTTATTTACCTACACTTTTAGATCTTTTAAATTATGGGAGACTTGAAAAGGTTAATAAGATAAATTTAAATAGTAAGTAAAAATCCATACATACCCAAAATGCTTACAAATAATTCATAATATTCAAAGGTAAGCAGAGGTTCAGGGAGATCTAGAAAATAATCTGCTATTGTTCTGAATACATCTCGTTCAAATCCAACATAAGTTGGATTATTCATATCATTATTTCTTGGCCCTACGAAACAGAAGGCAAAAAAATTGGCAAAATGTATTTTATTTTAAATAAAAATTTTAAATATACCTGTAAAAAGTATAAAACCTGTATTTCATGAAGGAGCTAAGTTTAACAAATTCTGTCACAATTCAAAAATTTAAAGAGTTGTGCACATCTCATTCTTTCTCATTATGTTTTCATTAGAAATATGCAAGCAACTACTAGCATTTTGTTTTAATATTTATATACCTGAAAATTGTATATAAGGCAAAATTTGAAATATATTTTAAAGTATTAAGGTTATTTAATGAGATTTTATTACAATTCATTTTATAAAACAAAGAGTATTTAGATAATGCAAATAATCCTTCTAAATTATCTTTTGTAAATTTACATTTTCATGAACAAATTTTACCTAACACAAAGCATGTCCTTAATGAATTTAAATGTCTTTATATTGCCATTTCATTAGCTTAACGTTCTTGAAAGAATCATTCCTGCTCATTATTGTTTTACTCAGAAATAGAAAAAAGTGAAGCTCAGAGTAACTTGCCTAAGATGAAAGAGACATTGGTGGTAAAGCTAGAATTAGAACTTAGAGCAGTGTAAATGAGAGCTAGACCCAGGACCTTGAGGTCTAACAATATTTAAAGTATGCTCCATGGACTACATAATCAGAATCATCCAATGTGCCTATTAAAAATATAAGTTCCTCTGTACAGACCAGAATTTATGGAGGCGAGGCTAAGAATTACTGACTTAGAAATGTTTGCTTCTGGCTCACTAATTTAGTAGTTTCCAAACGCTGATCTGGGAATCTTCACTGTAAGAATCTTCTCTGTCGAATGAACTGAATGAAACCACCTAATGAATCAACCGAATCAGAATCTTTGGCTAGTTTCCTTAGTTACTGTAATATGCACTCAGGTTTGAGAGTCACTATTCTACCTTTTTTTTTTTTTTTAAAGATTTTATTTATTTATTTGACAGCGAGAGAGAGAGAGAGAGACAGTGAGAGAGGGAACACAAGCCTGGGCAGAAGGAGAAGTAGACTCTCCGCTGAGCATGGAGCATGCGGGGCTCGATCCCAGGACCCTGGGATCATGACCTGAGCCGAAGGCAGACGCTTAACAGCTGAGCCACCCAGGCGCCCCACTATTTCTTTTCCTTTCCTTTCCTTTTTTTTCTTTTCTTCCTTCCTTTCTTCTTTCTTTCCTTTCCCTCCCTTTCCCTTCCCTTTCTTTCCTTCCTTCCTTCCTCCCTCTCTCTCTCCTTCCTCTCTCTTTTTCTTTCTTTCTCTCTCTCTCTTCCTTTCTCTGTTTCTCTGTTTCTCTCTTTTTTTTTAAGATTTTATTATTTGACAGAGAGAGAAAGAGCACAAGCAGGGGGAGCAGCAGGCAGAGGGAGAAGCAGGCTCCCCGCTGAGCAGGGAGCCTGATGCAGGGCTCAATCCCATGACCCTGGGATTACGACCTGAGCCCAAGGCAGAAGGCAGATGCTTAGCCACCCACATGCCCCACTGTTCTTTCAAGTTAAAATCTTCCTCTTCCCAAACCCAAATAATCTATTTTACTTCTCTGTCTCCAAGCTTTTGTATTGTCATACAAATGTGAGCTCATGCACTAAAAAAGGATTAAAGAAAACAAATCACACACATTTAATAGCTTAAAGGCTAATATGGATTTACATAGAGCAAAATAAACATCTTCTTAAAGAGGATAAGAAATATTCTCAATATGTAGAAAAAAATTTTGATAATCATTACAAAATTTTCTAAGACAGAAAATACACCTACTAGAATTAAAATACAGAATTTATAGTTAGCGAATCTAAGTTTGAATGCATAGCTCTTTATATTATCAGTAGACTTTCAAAAGAAAACGGGATAATATATTAAGGAAGGTTCTTCTAGAAAAAAACAGGATAATATATTAATCACTGATTCCTGTATGTCACAGGATTACTATAGGGGATTAAATAATAACTACAAGTCTTCTTCTAGAAAAAACGGGATAATATATTAATCACTGATTCCTGTATGTCACAGGATTACTATAGGGGATTAAATAATAACTACAAGTCTAAATACTACCTCTGGCTAGATATATTGTTAAACTGGAATCTAGTAGATTATATCTTTGGTACCACTTAGGTATAACAGAGACTGGTAAGAAAGGGAAGAGAAAAAAATCCTTCAACATGGGATGTCAGAGAAATCCTGAAAGTCTAAGTATCGGAGTTGCTAACCATGAACCAAGGTATGAGACAGAAAGGCAGTTAGGTGAGGGAAGGTAGAAAGAGAAACTCAGAAATCGAGCTTATGATTAAGAACTTTACCGCAATTTGATAAATAAAATCTATCACTTACATTATTTACTTTATTGCTATTTATTCTGTTATTTTGTCATATTGACACCCAGTGGACAACAAGGGAATATATACCTATCTTGAACATTATTAATAAAATACTCATTTCATAAGAACTAGAAAAATCCTTTTATAACAAAACTATCAAAATATAATTTAACTTTTGATGATTTATTTATTATTTATTTATTTTTAAGATTTTATTTATTTGACAGAGAGAGAGAGCACAAGCAGAGGGAGAAGCAGGCTCCCCACTGAGTAGGGAGCCTGATGTGGGGCTCGATCCCAGGACCCTGGGATCATGACCTGAGCTGAAGGCAGACACTTACCAGACTGAGCCACCCAGGCACCCCACTTTTGATGATTTAGAAGCATATATTTCTGCATATTTTTAAAATTGACTTTTAAAGCAATTAGGGTTTTATACTTGAACTAGGGTCTCAAATTATAAAAATCAATTATTACTGATCATTATGGAAAAAGCTTGATGAACAAGATGCTAAAAAAATGGTTTGCTGATTAGTGACAGATTTTTTTTTCCCATAAATATAAAAGTCCCATTAATATATCTGATGGGAGTACAAGCATGTCATGAAGCATCTCAGTATTGAAGCCTTGTATAATGGCAAGGGGACTAAAGTAGATTTTATGCGACTTTATTTCTGATTGAATCTTTCCAGCTTGTAAGAGCTATGTTACTTACAGGTTGCTATTTGAATTCTAGAAGCCTCACTAAGACAACTGATGTAGGTTATACCTAAAAATTCTGTAAGATCCACTAGCCTATGATTTTATGATTTATGAAAACTGAACCATAAATGATGAGATTGAATTATAAAATCATCATCTGCATAGAAAAGGTTAAGAACTCTATTCCGCATGCAAGGAAATGTATTCAGTTCTACTAGATTGTCATTTAAACACCAAGAGGAAACTGGCATACTTTATCAGGACCTCTACGAATTATTTTAAAAATCTCCTTAGTTCTTGTTAAATGCTATGAATATGAAACATATATATACATACATATTTTGCTTATTTAACTTACAATTTGCTAGGCACTTCATGGCAGATAATACCCAATGAGGAAGGTCATCTATACAAAAAAATATTTACAGTTTAGAAAATCACACTTTTATGATATTAAAATTTTATACTTACTATATATGTAATTATATACACACACATATATGCATGTGTATATATATGCATGTATGTATATACATGTATATTACCAGGATTAAAAATTATGTTTAACAAGACATAAAGCCAAAATAATATTTTAAAAGACAAGTTTAAAACTTATAGAGATCTTGAGTTTGATTCTTTCCATGATACATTTTTAGTTATCCCAAAATTGAGGATAAATTATTTTGGTGGGGGTTCAAAAATAAATTAATGTTCATCCTTGTCCCCTACTACCATGTTTTCTTTATCCTCATTTCCATTCTAATTATAGCTATGCTATTAGAATATTACTGATTTGAGTGAGATCTATGATTGAAATGAGCTATATTTGAATATTAGGGTGCTTTCACAGTGAGGCTTACTTAAAATCTTTCATTTGCCACTAACTGAAATATGCTGCATAAAATCTAGTAGTTTTTTGACACCAATCAAAAAACCATACATACACTTGATTTGAAAAGTTTATGGTTATAAAGAACAGAAAGCTTGAATAAGATAATATACTATTAAGTATGTGATTTTAGGTAATGAAAGATGGGACTGGACCAAAGCCATATGCATATGCAACATGACTCTTAAGTTTTTGCTTTTTGTTCCTACAGTTTAAACCTTAAAGTTCTTGCCAACAGAAAGAAACTCAAGTAATGCATGCCAGTTAATTCTCCAGGCAGCAATTGATTATAAAAAATGAGTCAATACTTTGAGATTTATTGATACATTTCTTGAAATGTTAAGTTTTGTAATACATCTGGCTTGAATTATATCCCTAATTTTTCCATCTTAGATCTAAAATCAATACATTATATAAATATATATAATACAAAGCCAGTAATCTTCAAAAGCTTTGAGAGTTTGGGCTTATTTTATTGTGTGTTACCTCAGTTTTGCGTATATGTCTAAACCTGTGTAAATTTACATATAACTACTCACGTAAGCTCCAGGAAGTCATGGACCATTTCCCTCTTGTTCATTACTAAATCTTTAGCATAATGCCTGGTACATTGTAGGCCCTCAGTAAAATGTAGTTATATGCATAAATACCACTTAGGGGTTAAAATAATAGTATGAATAATATTCACTTAAAATGATTACTAAAGCACCTATGATAAAATAATTTCCCCTTGATGCTCTCTCAGTTAAAGTACTCTACTTTCTATATTTTTAGTCTCTCTGCACCCCCACTATAGCTGTAACCTATGTTAGCAAGTTTAAAAGATTCCAACTTCTTTTACTGATACCAACCTGATTTATCTTGTAGTATAACTATTCCATGTTTACTTGTATTGGTCATGTTGTACATTACGTATTGAGGAACTACTTGCTTTGGATTTATGAGTTCTTCTAGGGATGGCACACCTAAAATGGTTTGCAGGCTAAACAGAAGAAAGAATACAAACTTCTTTTTCTCTATAAAATAAGTGGAATAGGATATAAATATGAAAAAGTATTAATGGCAAACAGCGCCATCAGAATATTTCTTTTCTTAAACCAAACTTATAAGATTTATACTTAGTATCCACTTTCAAATGTATTTATCTTAGTAACCTTGAAAGGATTCCAAGAGTCCAAACTATAGGTATAACTTTGATTCAAAGAAAAACAAATCATACTGAAAACATTCTATTTCTACTGTGCTAGAACTATAACAAGAGAATTTATTAAGAAACACATACAGGTTAAATTCTAAGATTTTTTGCATTTGTATTATCTTGATAAAAATGTCAAATTAACATTCTAAACACCTTTGGAACTTGGTTAGAGCTTAGTTTTAGCTTACTAGATCAGAATAATATATCTCCAAACTTCTTCAACATCTTCCTGACTTATTTCTCTGTTATCAACTGAGTTTTCTTGATCTTCATTGATTATTTCATGGTTCATTTTCTCTATATTTTCCTGGAAAAAAATTACTTTGGTTTAATATATTATGCTCAAATTAAGGAAATATTGAACTGGCACAATTCCTAATATTTTGCAATTTTATTGGTAAACAGTCTACAGTGAAGCTATAAGGTAAGTATTACTTAAAGAAATAATGTTAACATATGGTAAAAGAGCTTTTTGGTTCTGTAGCTGCCCCTACCATCCTCAAATCAATTTAAAAAAAAACAGGCTTAAATTATACAAATACTGTTTCAAGTATGTCTCACTACCATTTTAATTATTGTTCCTATGGGTTCTATGTTCTACTGTAAGACAATTTACACACATATTTTTGGAACACAATGTAGGTTAAGAGACTTCAGTATTGGCTTCAAATATTAAAGACTTACATACTTTTATTTATTTATTTATATTTATTGATTTATTTATTTTTAAAGATTTTATTTATTTATTTGACAGAGAGAGACATAGCGAGAGAGGGAACACAAGCAGGGGGAGTTGGAGAGGGAGAAGCAGGTTTCCCTGCGGAGCAGGGAGCCCAATGTGAGGCTCGATCCCAGGACCCTGGGATCACGACCTGAGCCGAAGGCAGACGCTTTAATGACTGAGCCACCCAGACGCCCCCAGACTTACATACTTTTAATGATTTTATAAATAAGTACATGGTAATTACATTTAAACTAGTAATTAGTAAAAGGGATGTTTTACCTGAGAGAAATGTAATCCAAGTTTTTTAGGAGTTCTACGAGATAAATTTCGTAATTTAAAAATGCTGTCTTTATCTTTGGAAAAGTTTTCCATGCTGTTTTTTCTCAGTTCTGGATGCCTTCGTGGAAGACTTTTAAGCGGAGAATTTGCAGGAAATCTGGTTTAAGAATAATATGCAATTAAGTAATGTAAGATCAGAAACAAAATTTTAATGCCTGTTTATCTAAAATAAAAATCACAAAAAGAACTGAATTTATTTATATTACCAAGGAATGAAGATTCTACATAAATAGATTTTCCCATTAAACCTTTAAAAAATATTTTAATAGTTTCCTACTTTCCTTAATATACTGTACATATTTTAACTTTATTATCTGGATAATTCAGAGTTATTATTGGGATCAATTCTGTTGAAGAAGAAAATGGTTCCATTTTCTAAATTTCTTTGACAAGTGATCTAATTTATATATATTTTCTGACCCTTGTCCATTGTGCTTGTTCTAATTTGCAGACCTTGGTCTCTGTTACTCCTTTTGATTATAAGGCTTTTTCCCCCCTCCAGTGTAATAAAAAATATTTCAAAGATACAAAAAAGTACAGAAATATAGACAACATCCATGTATGTAGTCATCAACTAATGCAATTGTTAACATTTTACTAAAGACTTCATTATTTTTTTTTGTTAAATCAAAGAAATTCTTTGCTTATTCTATTTCTTTCTCTCTTTCTGAGGGAAGCCATTAACTTGCAGTTAGTACATTTCCTTCTTGTTCATGTTTTTATACTTTTAATAAATATTCATAAACAATATATGGTTTGGTGTTTTTACATTCTACAGTATCTTACACATTAAATATATGCATAAGTTTTTAGTGACCTCAGAAGTTCTATTATATTCCACAGTCCTAAAAATATTTTTTTATATTCCTTCATAAGTGTTTTATTTTCATATTTAGGTATTTAAGCCATGTATAACTTATACCAAGTTCCCATATACAGTTGACCCTGAAGATGGGTTTGAACACTTATACACAATTTTTTTTATAAATGCAATACAGTATTAGAAAAGTGTTCTCTTCCTTATGATTTTCTTTTTTTTTTTGTAATTTTTTTTTTTAAAGATTTTATTTATTTATTTATTTGAGAGAGAGAGAGAGAATGCGAGATAGAGAGCACGAGAGGGAAGAGGGTCAGAGGGAGAAGCAGACTCCCTGCTGAGCAGGAAGCCCGACATGGGACTCGATCCCGGAACTCCAGGATCATGACCTGAGCCGAAGGCAGTCGCTTAACCAACTGAGCCACCCAGGCGCCCTCCTTATGATTTTCTTAACATTTTTTTCTCTAGCTTACTTTATTATAATACAGTTTATAATACATGTAACATACAAAACGTGTATTAATTGATTATGTATGTTATTGGTAAAGCTTCTGGTCAACAGTAGGCTATTAGTAAATTTTTTGGGGAGTCTAAAGTTGTATGTGGATTTTCGACCATGCAAGGAGTCAATGCCCCAACCCCTGCATTATTCAAGAAACAACTGTATATATGGGTTTGCTTTTTCAGTACTTAATTGTTTTAATTTACTTTAAGCCCAGATATCATATAGGGCAATTCTCCCCTCCTTGTTCACTTCAAAATTGTCTTGAACTTTTATATTACTAAATGAACTTTAGAATCTGCTTGTCACATTCTATAAAAAAATTATATGGGATTTTGAATGAAAATGCCCTGAATTTATATATCAATTTCGGGAAAAGTGACTTTTTTATGATATTAAGTCTTCTGATTCATCAACAGGATATCCTTCTCCACTTACTATCTTCAATACAATTTTATAATTTTCTCCAGTAAGGTTTTACACATTTTTGGTAAAGTTTATTTTTAAGTACTTTGTAATTTTGTTACCATTATAAAAGACTAGAGGCAGAGAGACTAGTTGAAGAATTACACAGAATTCCGGGTAAGAGAGGAAAATGGTCTAACAAAAAGAACTATCAGGGTGGAGAGAGAAGTGAACAGATAGAGAACTACTGAAGCAGTATAACAGACATGGTTTGTTAATCAAATCATATTTAAAGGGGAGAAGAAAGGAAAAGAATCAAAGCAACTACAGGAGAAAACAGTGCCATTCATCTAGGTATAGATATAAGAAGACAAAATTTAGGTTAAGACATGATATTGATTTTTCTTTACGTTATATCTGAAATGCCTAATGGGCAAAAAATGGGTCTAAAGCTCAGAAGGTATATTTGAGTTGGAAGTTTGAAAGTTAAAAGAAGAGTAGATGAAGACGTGGCAAGAGATTGCCCAGGGAGAGAGGTGAAGTAAAGATAAGTCTAGGACCTTAAGAACCAGTAACAGCTAAAGGATGAATAACAGCAAAGGAGCTCACAAAGGTGACTAAGCTGTAGTTAGGAGAGGAAGGGTTGGTAGGTGTACTACAAAATGAACTATTCATATGCTTTTTATTGCAGTTGACTTGTACAATATAAATCATCTTTGATACAGAGGCAAGAATCAACTTCTAAGACATTTCATTTGAAAAGTACTAATTTTGTAGAGAAAAAAAGCATGGGTATTAGAATCCAAAACCTCGTTTAATGATATATGAAACAGAACCCTGTGCGCATGAGAGAAAAAGCAATTGTGCTGGCCTGAGGGAGTCAGAAAGGCTCCAGAGAAAGCTGAAATACAACTGACAGGAGAACAAATGTATTTACTAATCTGACAAATGTCTACAGTGTTTCAAGGTAGAAGAACATATTTCAGACATATGTAACAAGATTAAATGAAGCATGGTCTCAGTTTCCTCATCTGTAAAAAGGAGCTAATATCTATCCTGTTTAATCCAGGGATTAAATAAGAAAACATATAAATCATAAAGCAGGGCTTCTGATACATGGTAAACCCTTAATAAATATTCTCTTTAACCTATGTTATATTTCTTCTGTTATTTATTATATAAAGTTTGCTATTATTTATTTTATCACATTTATTCTTAGATTATATAAGATTATATGTTACTTGAGGGCAAGGACCTGTGAGGATTTGTCTTATAATTCCTCAATCAATGAAACTAAAGATTAATAATGATCTGTTCTTGAAATGTTACAGCTTTCAGAATATGAAAAAGTGATAATCTCACTCTATTTTATTATATATACTAAACATTTTAAAAGTTTTTTTAATTAATTAATTTTTGATGTAGTGTTCCATGATTCAATGTTTGTGTATAACACCCAGTGCTCCATTCAATACGTGCCCTCTTTAATAACCATCACCAGGCTAACCCATCCCCCCACCCCCCTCCCCTTTAGAACCCTCAGTTTCTCAGAGTCGATAGTCTCTCATGGTTCGTCTCCATTTTAAAAGCATTGATTGTGCAGAGATTAACTTTAACTTCTAAGTGCCTTTTTTTTTTAAAGATTTATTTATTTATTTTGAGAGAGTGAGAATGAGAGAGGGAGAGAGAGTACATGAGAGCGGGGAGGGTTAGAGGGAGAAGCAGGCCCCTCGCCGAGCAGGGAGCCCGATGCGGGACTCGATCCCGGGACTCCAGGATCATGACCTGAGCCGAAGGCAGTTGCTTAACCAACTGAGCCACCCAGGCGCCCCTAAGTGCTTTTAATTGTACTAAGAGCAGTAAGTTTTATAAAGAAAACATTTCTTCTGAAGAAGCTGCAATTTTAGTAAAAGTATTATAGAAGTGGAGTTAAACTTTATTGTTAAGTAATTCAGTTTTGCAGTTATTTATCTGTTCAGTACCTGAATAGCTGACTGTTGTCATCAAGATTTTCTGATCCCCATCTGCCTTTGATATCTTCAATTACATGGTTCTTAAGAAATTTTCTAAGCAGTTGGAGAGTCTGTTGCCTTGTAACTTCAGGACCAAAATTGTTATTATTTCTTAATAGGTCATAAAGCCAATCCACTGCTTCTTCTGCTGTAAAACAACTGCCATATTTTTTAAAGTGTTGCCTGTGTTTTCTTAGAGGCATTCCCGCTCGAAAAGATGTAGTAATTTCATTCCACTGCAGAAAGAATATATTTTTTAAAATATTAAACAACAAAAATTAAATATCTTACTGATTTGAAACAAATTAGACAAAGAAAATTATTTTATTCACATCTGATTACATCATAAACTTTCATGATGAAATCATTCATCTACAGAAAATTTTATATCTTATACTGATTTCTCTTTATTTTAGCATTGTAATAATATTTCTTTGTAATAGTTTTTGACTAAAAGCACTTCATGGTCTGGCTGGCTTATTTAGGAAACCTACAAATAATGAAGAACTGCAATAAATCTGCCCTAGTCTTCAATAGAGAAAACATTCCTTTTTTTTTTTTACCTCAACTAATATTAGTAAAATGTTAGTAGCATTTGTGTCAGACACTGCTTTACATTCATTACTTCACTTTCATTCTCACAGTTCTATGAGTAGGTACTATTATTATTCCATTTTCATATAAGAAATATGAAGCACAGAGAGATTTAATAATTGGACCAAGGTCACACAGCCAAGTGATGGATCCGGGCATTCAAACCCAGGTTTGATTGACTCTAGAACCTGCATTCATAACTACTATGCTGGCCAAACAAAGTTCATGGCAGACACTAGTTTTACTGGTAAAATATCTTTAATGTTGAAATACCTTACGTATTTACTATAGTATTTCTTATGTGAAGATTCCAATAGTGAACATAGAAGAGTAAATTAAGCTTTAAGTCCATCGCATATTGAATAACAGAGATGTACCTACGTTTTAAAAAGATACACATATTTTCCAAATTGTCCTCAAATAACCCAAAGTCTCAGGTTTGTGGCAGCTATAACACTGGAGCACCAAGGTGGTGGTGGTGGTGTAAAATACACACATCACTCTTTAATTGAAAAATCCTATATTAGAGGCCAAGAAATCTGATTTGTAACCCCAGGATGCCACTGCTAGCTATGTTATCACTCGTCTAACCAATGCGGCCCCGACACCCACAACCAAAATTTAAGAGTTGAAAACACAATCACTATTCTTTTCTTCCCACCACACCTCCCCATTTCATACATTTATTTATTCAAGAAACATATTGAGCTGTAACTTACTTATAGGATAACAGACTTTCACATACAGTATCCTCTTGGGATATCCTTTAAGGTGGGTGTATGCATTATTAGCCCGACTTTACCAATGTGGAAACTGGGGCTCAGGGAAGTTAAGTCACTCTCCTAATTCCACGTACCCAGCGGCACTGTACTCTACCGGATTGAGAATCTAAATGCACAAATCCAGTGACTACCAACAGTGGTTTCCGTTGGGTATCTTAACTATTCTGGGTTTAGTTTTGAAACGGGCAGCTGTTACCTAATGCTATTTCAATCGGTAGATCCTGCATTAAATTCTACAGGCCCAGCAAAACAAAGCTGCCACATTCGGGCTGCCCCCGTTCTGACACTACAGAGTAACGGAACTCTTTCCAAATTCTTCTTGAATCCTGATGGGGGTAGAAAATCAGACGTGGAGAGAGGCTAAAATCGGAATATTCTATGACTTTCCAGGGCACGCCGACAACTGCAGGCACAGGAGTCGCTTAAAAAAGGCTAGAGTATGATGCGCCGTCCCGGGGACGCGACCCTTTGGACTTAGGGCTCACAGACACAGCCCAGACCCTCAAAGAAGGGGGAGAGTCGTGTCCTGCAAGGGTTTTCCAATGCCTGTTAATTGCCCCCACTCTCCTTTTCAGCGAACCAAGGCAAGGGGCTCTGGGACCCATCTGTCCGCCCAAGACGAAACTACGAACGTTCTCACGTAAAGGTGGTGGCGGCCATCGCGGCGGCCGGCCCGTCTAGTCGTTCCGCGCTGTCTTACCAGTTTGGTGGCCCGATAAGGGCCGGGAGGCACACTCCGACTTTCCATTCCGCCCGGCGAGCCCGGAGGTCTGTCAGCGGCCCTCGCAGTGCATGGCGGCGTTAGGCGACACCGGGGCTCGGTGGCCCCGACGGCGGCGAGGCTAGGCACAACCGTCGGCCGCGCAGCCAATTTGAATAGCGCAGAGGGCTGCGCTGATTGGCCGCGCCTCCGAGTCACGTGGCGCGCCTCCAGGACCCGGCTGCAGTTGGTTTGCGCCGTTGCCTCTCAGGGCTGGGGCGCGAGCGGCGGATGGCTGGCACCGTCTAGTCAGCGCGGGGGCCGGGCCCGTGGGACGGGCTCTGGGCCTCACCCGGCTGTCCTGGAGCTGCTTCTCCTCCCTCTTGCGGTCACAGGCGAGGCGGAGTCGTGTTTCCACACTCAGAACCGGTGAGGCAGTTTAGCCCCAGACTGGATGGTTTGGAGTCCAGGCTTTGGCTTAAGGGAATTTGAAATTTGGAAAAGAAAAAGAAAAACAAGCCTTTTTTTGCCTGGCCCTACAGGATCTCCAGCAGTGGTTGGCATGTAAAACAAAGCATCTCTGGGGCGTAGCTTTCACCTGACAAACCCCTTTTATAAAGCTTCCTGGGTGTATGTTGCAGTGCCGTCATCCTGGTACATCTTAGCAGGGGCCGTGATCCTGTTCTCCCCAGTGCAAAGATGTAGAATATCCCCTTTCCCCTTTAATTCCGTGGTAAAATGGAGCATAAGTAGATTTCCAGTAAGTACACACAATGAAGGGCTTGGGAAAGGTTATGTAAAACTTGCCAAATTGCTCCCCTGAAGAAAATCTACCGTCTTTATAAGAATCCTGGTTATGTTTAAATCATGATTATACCCTTAAAAAATATCATTTTTCAAATGACATAAACTAAGTTCTGAACGTTGAAGAGACTTGCCCAAAGCTGCACATCTCCTTGGCAGAGGTTAGACTTCATACTTTTAATAAAAGCTCTATCACCAGTCTGAACCTGATACTAGGAAAGCCTTACTACAGCATACTGAGAGGTTGCTTGAGTGATTTGAAGCTGTAGAATAATTAATTCGGAAATTAAACAGTAATTTAATAGGATAGGACTTAGCAAAAAGTCGAGGTAAGGGAAAGTGTTCTAAGGAAGAGTAGTATAAGGGTCTGCAGTTTATTTTAGCTATTGAATTTAAGATAATTTAGATGGAGATACATCTGTTTTCTGAACAGGACCAGTGGATAGGAATTTTCAAAAACCGCTTGGTAAACGGGAACAATCATCTAAATTTTGCATTTGTGTTAAGGAAAAGTAGAATGATAGATGTTACAAAATAATGATAACTTGTTTATCTGGCTTTATGACATATTGTCCTTTCTTTTGCCTCCTATTTCCCTTCAGAATGACATGGGGATGAGAATGTGAAGCCAAATTCATTTTGCATTTTTGCCTAGCTCCTTAGTTGAAAATGATCTCATTACAGCCTTTGATATAGCTTAATATTACCTAAGTTTCTAAGACATAACCTGACAGAGGATACTATTAATGGCACAAAATTAATTTAAAATTACAAAGTATCATCTGACATTTTTTAGAGGGTAGCCGGAAAAGTAAATTCAAACTTTTCATAAGAGAGTGGTTGGAGAAGTCCTAAAAAGGCATGCAACAAGATGTAGGTGTCACATCATGAGAAAGCCTCTGGGACTCTTTTTTTAGGTGCTTTCATTGTGTCTGTGGACTTGCTTTGCATCATTCACCTTCATGTTGACTGTTTCTGTAGATAAGAAAATATCTAAAAGTTAGGCTTTTGTCAGATGTTGGTGGTTTATGTTTCTTTAGTTAACTTTGTATATTTCTGCTCTTAGTAACTATTGATTTTGTAGTTTGATTCTTGGAAGTAATTTTATTTCTTTCATTACCTGGTTTTTGGGACTCACTTCACTATTTTTTTTTCCTCATTCCTCTACCTCAGGATTTCTCAGGTGGGTAAAAAAATCCACCTCCTTAGGATCATGGGATACCTGTTAAAATGCTGATTCCTTGGATTCCCTAAACGATTTTGGGGGAGAGTGTGTTTGTGGGGGGGCGGGTGTGGTGGAGTAGGTACAGGGTACATTCTTAGGGATGGAGGAGCCTGGATTTCTAAAGATTTCATGGAGTTGAGTTGTTAGAATGCCCGAAGGCCACTACCTGTGGACTCTTTATGAGAGGATATGAACCACTGTTAATTCAATCTTAGAGCTGAACCTAATCCTAATTAATAGAACAAATACTAGAACATAAAATAAAATGTAGTATCACCTCTTAAATATGATGAAACACAAAATTTTCCTACCTAGACAGAGATTATCTATCTCAGTAAGCTTTTCCCACATTGTCTGCAGTTTCATTTAGTCCCACTAGAATAGAAGTTCCATAGCAGAGACTTTATCTAATTTGTTTACTATTGTATCTCCAGTTGCTAAACAGCACATAGGAATTTAATAAATATTTGGTGAATGGATGAGTTTTTCTTATCACTAAAAACAAGGCTTGCATATGGGTGATATATATCCAATTATCCTTTTCTTCCTAGAAAACTTTTTATAAAATATGTCTCCATATTTTTGAAGTTTAGCCATTCCATCATTCCATATATCTAGTTATGAGTGTGATTTCATAAATCTTGACTAATATGTGGTCTGGTCTGAGAAAATTTCCTCTTTTTCTTTTGAATTGCTCCAGTCTGTTTTCTTCCCTGCTTTTGAAACTGTTATTGGCTATTTGATGTCCTGGACCTATCTTATTTTTCTAATGTCCTTCCTTCTATGATTTTTATTTTACTGTTTTTTTTTTTCCCTTTAAGTTTTGAGAGAATTCTTCCAACTGAGCTTTGAATTCAGTGGTCTAATTTCCTTTTACACCTTTATGTTTTATGGTAACTCACTATATAATGCTCAAAAATGACCTTCTTCTTTGAACGCTGATTTTTTAAAAAATATTTTATTTATTTATTTGAGAGAGAGAGAGAGAGAGAGAGCATGAGCATGGGGAGGGGTAGAGGGAGGAGACTCCCGCTGAGCAGGGAGCCCAACATGGCTCCTCCCCAGGACCCTGAGATCATGACCTGAGCCAAAGGCAGATACTTAAATGACTGAGCCACCCAGGTGCCCCAACTCCTGATTTTTTTATTGTATGCAGTGATTTGCTTTAATTTATTTTTTCTTATGAGATTTTTTTTTTTTTAGTTTGCCATCAGTAACTGAGATGAGTCCCAGTAAAGACTTGTTAAGTCCATGAAAATATTAAAATAACTTATTTTTTTATTTTGCTACCATTCATTTCCCAAGATCCTGCATTCTCAAGTATGTAGACAGCTATTATGTTTTAGGGTTAGAAGTATAGTTGACACTCATTGTTTTGTCTGGCATTTGGCTCTCATTTCTCTTGGGAATAGCATGCCTCCTCATTAAGAGAACTAGTTCTACTACTACTATAACATGTATTCTGAATGGACTCTTCCATGTTCCTTGCTCTCAGGAATGAACACAATATAACTGAGTTATAGCATTCTGCTCCCCTGATTCAGTGAGGCGGTCATGTGACCAAGCTGAGTCGAGGAGAGTCCTTTGAGATTTTTTTTTTTTAAATTGGGTCAAGCCAGAAGAGCCTTCTCTTTCTAGTAACTGAATTGAGAAAATATGAGCCAGGAGCCAATGCTGGCTATAGTTATAGCTGAATGAGACTTCTACTCTGTAAAATACACTGATGCCTAAAGAGAAACAGAAATGAAAGCTAGACAGTACTAGTTTTAGTCTTTCTGAGGCTAACTTACATCTCTAGAATTTGATTACATGGTACAACTTTTGTTTGCTTGGATTTTTGTCACTTACCATCCAAAGATCTCCAGTAAAAGAATTTTTTCAAGAGTGCTAATGATGATGGTATTTCTTAGGAAGAATGCCATTCAACTCCTTGGTAAGGTTTTATATCATTTTAGTATGTTACAGAGCTCTATATAGATAACAGAGAAACCATATAACTACATTGGGGAGATTATCAGGATTGTTCACAATCAGGTTTCGGCCTTCCTGAGGAGCTTCTCACATGTTTTGACAACTAAGCTAATTTTGGGACTTATGACTTTTTTGTCTTTATTTGGGGAGTTTTACGTCCTGAGACTTCTAGTTTCCTACCTAGTACACAGTATATGAAAGTCCCTAACTTACTTCTCCAAAGCTTCTAGTAAATCCCATAGTCTCAAACACACTATGTAAGTCTACTGAAGCTTGGGGAGAGGAGGATGACAGGGACCTGTGGTCAGACTGCCATATTCCCTATTTTTCTGTGTTGTATTTTTATGTAGTAGAACAATTTATAGTAAAGAAACATCAAGGGTTAAAAAGACCATGAAGAATTCAATTATGTGATTTCCTTTTGCCCATGTGAGATTATATTAGCCAGCCTCCAAGACAGCGCCCAGTGATTCATGCTTCTTGGTGTTCATGTCCTTGTGTTGTCCCATCACAAACCAAGTAGGACCAACTTGGGTAACCAATAAGATGTTGCAGAAATGAGTGTGAATCTTGACACTAGGTCATAAAAAGAATTCCTGTTCCTGCCTTGCTATCTCTTGGATCATTTGCTCTGGGGGAAGTCAGCTGCCATATCATAAGGCTATTTGGACAGTCTTTTGGAGAGGTCCCTGTGGAAAGGAATTGAAGCCTTTTGTTAACAGTCAGCACTGATTGAGTAAGCCACCTTAGAGTGGATCCTTCTATCTCTACTCAAAGTTTTGGATGACCAACTTTGGACAATAGCTTGACTGCAGTCTTATGAGAGACCCTGGGCTAGAACCACTAAGCTATATCTGGTATCCTGACCTGCAAAGACTAATATAATAAATGTTTATTGTTTTAAGCTGTTGTTTGAGAGAATTGTTACAGAGCAATACATAACTAATATAAAGATCCTCATTGTTCTTAAGAAATCAATTTGATAAATGGTAGAGTTTATTCTGATGGAGAAAATTGGGGTAAGAACAAATTGAAATCACGATTTCTG